TTCTGGCCCTTTAAATACAGTTCCTCATGTTGTGACCCAACCATAAAATTATTTTTGTTGCTACTTCATAACTGTAATATTGCTACTCTTATGAATCATAATTTAAATATCTGATATGCAGGATGGTCTTGGGCGACCCCTGTGAAAGGGTCGTTCGACCGCCAATGGGGTCTCGACCTACAGGTTGAGAACCGCTGGGCGGGAGGGAAGGAGGAAACAGTGCTGGCTGGAGGCAGTGGACAGGTGGGGTCTCTGCCTAGGCATGTGGGGGTGGGGATGGCGGGGACCAGACACAGAGCCCCAGCCCAGCTGTGGGGGAGCCGGCGGAGGGAGCTGGTGCTTGTTCTTCCTCTCACTTCCCTGGGTCTTGGTTTGTGCCTGGACTGTAACCCAGGCCCTTGCAAGTTCCACTTCAGTCTCCTCATTCCCCCTCCCGCCTCCCCTCTGGTCTGAGCCATCAGGAGTGTCACCTGCCAACAAGATAACAGGACCTGCCGCTGAGTGAGAACCAGTGGACTAGCAGGTGCCTGGCACACAGCAGGTGCTGACGGAGGTCCCTCGGACCTAAGCCTTCCTTAGTTTGGGGAAGATGAATGATACAGAAATCTGTGTACATGGAAGCTTCTGGGGGAAAAGGCCAGGGTGGGTGCCTCCCACACCCCCGCAACACAAGAGAGAGCTCTGGGCCCTTGTTGCTTCCCAGGAGAGCACAGACAGCACTGACACGCAGTAGGACAGACATTTCTTTATTAGGTGCTGCCTCAGGTAACAGGGAAGCTGAGGGCTGAGGGCTGCTGGCACTGGGTGCACGGGGGCCTCACACCCCGACCTGCTTCTGGGCCCAGGCAAAGAAGATGCCCTTGACATCGTCTACGCCTGTTCGAAGATAGGCAGGCATGGTGTAGGTGCGTAGGTCCCGCACCTTGTAGCCGCTACACACCAGGGCCTCCCTCACCTCCTCCTCACACAGGGGCACCACCTCGAGCCGGGCCTCCCCAGCCAGGTACCAGGACTCCTCCAGGGCCCCGATGAGGAGGAGGTGCCCCCCAGGCCTGAGCAGTGTAGTGATGTGGTCCAGGGCCCGCTGGAAGCTGGCAAGGTCAGGGCTCACCGCCTCCAGGCAGAAGGTAGAGACCAGGGCATCAGCAGGCAGGGGCACCAGGCTCCCAGCGCCCAGGGGCTGGGGCTGGTGCACGTCGATGGGGAGGACCCGCTTCACCCTCGCTCGCAGCTGGCGCTCCTTCTCCTGCCATGACTCACTGCAGGGACAGAGGGTATCATCCGGCCCGGCTAGGACGCCCCAGGCTCAGTCCTCTGTTGCCCTCCCCGCACACTCCATGGGCAGCCCCCTGCCAGACCCTTGTGCCCTAGCCCTTACCCCTTGTCCTCAAGGAGGCAGACGTGCCGGCTATACCCGCTCCAATCGAACGCCCCAGGCTCCTCCCGCAGCCACAGCCCCAGCTCCTGGCGGTTCACCTCCAGGAAGTCTGTCATGGTGATGTCCTCGAAGTAGGCGCAGGCGCTGAGCAGCTGGTACACGGTGGGGCCTGAACCAATGTCGATGAGGGTGCGTCCAGACACCTCACCTGGATGGGGCAGAGGAAGAGAGTCCTGGTGCCTGCCTGGCCCTGCTTCTCCCTCCCTCCTCTCCTTCCCTCTTCCTTCTTCCTCTGTGTGTCTCTATCTGGAAAAAGCATTGGCTGTGGAGTAGGACTAACAGAGTCCTAAAAACGTACCGTGAGAAAGGAGCTTAACTGTACAAGTGTACCTGTGGAGAGCGGCTACAGCGTTTGGACAGGTTCAAGCCTCGGACTAAAGAGAGGGCACCGTCTTCTCCTGGCAAAGCCACGTGCAAGTCCCAGCTTGGAGGGCAAAGCCCTCCCAGCACCATGAGAGCCAAAGGCTCTGGTAAGCTTGACCTTATGGTCCGAACCTGTGGTCCCAGGTGCGAGAGGTGCAGCAAGTGCTGCCAAAACAAAGCTTGATCGAGTTCAGATGCATGTAACTGAGTACATTCGAAACCGGCGAGGACATTGTAAGCACCCCCTGACTTTGCCACGTGGAATCTGCTATAAAACAAAGACCGGCTTGCAGGCCGCGGCTCTGCCTCTCCATCAGAGAGCAGCGTCCCACCCGGACCCAGCTTTCTCCTCTTGTCTGTCTGCGTTAATCCTTCACCGCCGCCTCTCAGGCTCACCCCTGACCGAGCCGGACACGCTCAGGACCGACCTCCCAGGGGCACTCAGTGGGGTGCGGGCCGTCTCCCAGGTGTCTCTTCCTTCCCCAATCCCTGTCTCTATTTCTCCGTCCCTCCTGCTCTCTGTCCCGCACCGCCCACCTCCCCTCTCAATTCTGAGCATCCTCCCGCCCGGGTGGGTCTCTCTCCCGTCGCCCCTCTCCCTCTTCTATTTTCGCCTCTGAACTCCCTGCTCCTGGGTGCGCACTGGCTCTCCCACGCGCCCCTCCGCTGCCTGCGGGCTCCTGGTCCCCGATCCCCGCGCACCTGT